GTAGCAAGCGCACTCCGTTTGATGAATTGTGGAGTCGATTCACAGACAGCAGAATGACTTCCGTCTCATCGTTGGTCCCGTTTATGATTAAGTCGAACAACGTTTGTCAATTGTATGGATCCTCCGTTTTACATTACTTTTGTGCACCTTCCGTTGGATCGACCCATCTGGTCTTCTGCTAATCTGGAAGTATAGAAAGGACATCATGCTATTGCGTTCAGATGCGAAGGTGAACTTACCATTATCTTGCGCTGAGTTAAAGGAGGACAAAATTAACTCTATGCAACAGTTACTGCCACACAAAATATATGACCGACGTCACGCTCGTGGTAGAGCAGTGTGCTAATGACTCCGCTCAGATAGTTGTTGGCTAAGTTTCTCATGTACATATCTGCTAGCAACGGCCTTAGCGGTGAGCTCATTGCTACTCCGCACTGTTGTCTATATAGTCCCGCTTGATTGAAATTGTATCTTGTTACTACACATGAAAGCATCCAACTGATGTGCTCGAACGGAGTCGCATAAACCATTATCTCTTCCAACGTCCTGTTAACTCATACTGTCTTATTGAGCCTGAGAAGCTGAATGTGTCTCGCAGGCTATATCTGGATGGAGTTTTCTCCTCGGTTCCAAAAAGGATCGGTTATCTGTGAGTACTACGCGGTAACTCGATTTTCGGCGTGCCATACTGATCGAGCTTTTTAGCTGAAATAACGTGGAAAACAGTGTTTGAATAAACACTTGGAACGAAATTTGACTATTGTCAAATTTCCTCTGATCCAAGATATCTTGGATGGATTAAAGTGGCACTGGCCAAAGCTTCTCCCTGAAGCTTACTGTTACTTTTTCGCTTGTTCCCTTTTTTATTCTTGTTTTACACCCTGTTTTGTCTTTTTATTGTGATCGTTTTAAGGTTGTGTAGGTGTTTTTAAATTCTGCTCTGTTTTCCACTTAAACATGGTCGTCTCGATAAAAACCGTGGCGGATGAACTTCTTGCGTCCTCGTTTGATGAGTCAAATGCAGCTGGCAGCAATTCTGCCTGTCCAAGACCAATTACGGATTCAGCTGGTGGTATGCAGTGTGAAGTTCGTTTCTGCTGGTATCAAAAAGTTGTACCGGCCCCCGAACGAATCAGTACAATATGCTATCATCCAGTGAAAACCTTCTGTTTATATGTGCTGATGGTTGCGCTCAGATAGCGAAGCTCCCGGCTCTCACTTGTGCTGCATTTAAAGCACTGGCATCCAGATTCACAGTTGTTGAGAAGGCGTTAGCCATGCTTGTCTCTCTTGCCTCACTCAACTCTAAAATGGATTTGATTATGAAATCCCTGAATATCGCGAATGCGGACGCTGTAACGGAATGTCCTTCTGCTGATAGTTTATCTGTTGACGAGTCGTTCATCCTGTCGGACCCTCCAGTTCACATGGAAATAATTGACACAGATGCCTCGGACGGCATTGTTGATCAGCCCCAAATGGAAGGCGAGTCACGTGCTCCTGGACCATTAAAGAATAATCGTAAGAGGGCAAGGAAAGCGCGCAAACCCTCCGCCCCCAGAAACGATAGGTGATAAAATACGCAAGAAACAAGCGCCTGAGCTCGAAACACCATTTGGTGTTACAATTCCCTCAGTGAGACATGAGGTGTCGTCACCCTCGGTCCCACCGATTCCTGTCAAACAACTATGTGATGTGGATGCTAGAGCATGCGGAGTAAATACACCACCTCGCGGCGATTCTTACACAAATAGCAGTGTGATTTTCAGAAACGTCACTGAATCCACTGCCTCTCTTTCCACCGAGCGCATGTTTGATGATCTTGGTTGGCTTAAAGTTTGCGTGACCAGGCTTTTACCACCAGGTTTCCCTGACGTTACTATCAGGATGCTCATCAAATGAGGGAACATTCTGGTTGGTCAACCAAATCCTCGACCCCGTCTGCTTAGGGTGGCCCTCTCCACCCCAGAAGAGCGCAGAGCCTTACTGTGATTTGCCTTTAAGCTCAAAGGTAGCAACGTTAGTGTGCAACCAGACCTTCTGTTAGCGAATAGGATAAAGTTAAAAAAGCCACCAGAGACCTAAAAGCCCGGCGTGCAGCTGGCGAGCAAGGTGGTCAGTCGGCGGTCCTTTTCCGCACTGCAAGTACCTATTCTACTTGCGCAGGACCTGGGGCTGGTCGTGCCGAAGTCCTCCAAGTAGTACTTAGTAACGTGCGTAGCCTGAGAAACAAGATGTGTGAGGTGCGTCTGCTCATAGATAAATCTCGTACAGATATACTTTCTTTCACTGAAACGTGTTTGTCTGAGGAAATCACTGATGGCGAAGTATATCTGCCTGGCTAGGCACCGTTCCGCGCTGACCGCTCCATTGGCCTTCAAGGGGTGGTGTAGCTATTTATGTGAGTTATCACATCGAAGTATTGAGGACCAGTGTTTTTCAGTCTATCGACAAATCTGTTAAGGCTCTCGCAGTCTTGAATTGCGTTTCCTCGGTTCAGGTTACGGTCGTGTTAGTGTACAGAAACCCTATGAGCACCTCCGATGGAATCATTGAGTTTATACGCACTCACTCTGCGAACAAGTGTCTGGTGTTGGGAGAGTTCAACCTCCCAGAGGTTCGTTGGGATGAGCTGTCTTGCAGTTCGGTGCCTTGATCGTTCGGTACAGAACTGCTAGACTTAACGTTGCAGGTACCACTACACCAGTTGGTGGATCTCCCGCTAGGTACATGAGCAATCAGTAGCCGTCCATTTTAGATCTTGTTTTTGCTTAGTCACTTGACTTTTTAAATGACAATAATTACGACTCACCACTTGGCGCCAGCGATCACGTTTGCTTGTCTTTCCAGTGTATCCTTATCAGGCCTTGCCAAGGTACTACCAATTGGTATCCGAACATTAGGGCCGCAGACTTCCAAGCGATGCGGGATAAAGCTAGGTCATCACCTTGTGTGATATCTGAGACCGACACTGTTCACATAGCCATGGTAAAGCTTAAGGCTCAAGTCTTCGATATTTCTGCACCTCACAACTCACTGGTAAAAAGAAGGGAATCGAGAGCACAGCCTCCGTAGATAGATTCCGCGGGGAAGGACCTACTAAATAAGGGTCTAGATGCTGGCGAGCGGTTGGTTCGAAATGATTGCAAGCTACATCTTAGCTTGGTCTGACTTAGCTGATACTGACTTCAAAAATCCCAAGAAATTCTTCGCTTACGTTAAATGACGCTGTGGTGCAAACTCGCCCATACCACCATTGCTTCGAGGAGATGGGACCCATACCTATAGCGACTATGATAAACCATACATGCTTGGCGAGCAGTACTCAAGCGTCTTTGTCCGCGAAACAAATACGCCATGCGCAGAATTAGATTCAAGCGTCTCTGAGGACTGTTGTCTTGATGAAATTCCTGTAACTGAGTCTCAAGTTTTCCGGGTGCTAAGAGAGGTAAACCCAACTAAGGCTTCCGGGACAGATCCTATTCATCCACAATTGTTGCACAAATTGGCAGTGGAACTCAGTGGATCTCTGACTTGTGTGGTACAGAAGTCACTCAACAGCTGTGTCTTACCTACCAAATGGAAGGAGGCTGTTGTCTGCCCGATTTTCAAGTGCAGTGACAAAGACCTACCGGTTAATTATGGGCCTGTCAGCTTGACTAGCGTGGCCGTTAAGTTACTTGAAAAATTAGTACGAGATATGGTGGAGAATCAGTTAAATATTTTTGATCTGCTTAGCGTCGAGCAACATGCTTTTCGCGAAAGATTTTCGTCTCAAGCGAACTTACTGGTAGCTCGTGAGAGCTGGGCTGAAACCGTAGACAGTGAACATGCGGTGGATGTGGTGTTCATTGACTTCGTCAAGGCGTTTGACACTGTCCTCCATTCACGACTCTCACTGAAGTTGAGGTCTTATGGTATATCTGGTCGAACTCTCCAGTGGGTGTCAGCTTTTCTGGATGGACGGGAACAGTGAATTCGTGTGGGAAGAAGTCTATCTTTTCGACAAGCTGTCTTTAGCGGCGTTCCGCATTGCTCTGTCCTAGGTCCGCTGCTGTTCTCAGTCTTCGTGAATGATTTTCCGGGGAAGCTTGAGGTACCATCGCTCTTATTTGCTGAGAACCTAAAGCTCTGGAATATTGTTGATAACCCTGGAGGTCCTGTGGCTCTTCAGCGGGCTCTGGATAGAGTCTGGGAATGGTTTGTCTTGTGGCTGCTGCCCATAAACCGAACAACGTGTTCAGCGCTGGTATCGGAGGGTCTGATTCCTCCACAAGTTATGTGCTGGATGGGAGTGAACTTCTTCACATGAGTCCCCAGGTTGATCTAGGTGTCATTCACTGTTCTACACTACACTCTGGAGACAACTGGAAGTAGGTGGCTAGTAAGGGGTTCCAGATGTTGTGATTCTCCGTCGTCATTTCGGGACCCGAACCGAGAATAAGTTTGTGAAGCTCTTCTCATCGTTTGTGCGACCCCAGCTAGAATATTGCGTCCAGGCCTGTCCACCATGCCTTGTCTGGGAGAAAATGGCATTAGAAAGGGTGTTGCGTGTCCGTACTAGGTTGGTCGAGTGGTTACCAGGACAAACGTACCTCGAACGCCAACTTAGTTTCGGGATGCATTCAATGCACTATCGAGGGATTAGAGGGGACCAAATCCAAACCTACCGTATTTTGACTGGGAAGGTTGGCCCTGATTTGTCCATGCTATTTAGACCTGCTAGAGTATCTTGTCTCCTTGGGCATTGTATGAAGCTGGACAAACCGTGGTCCGATCGAGTTAGAGCGGAGACACGGTTATCGCGTCGAGTTATCGAGCGCTGGAACTTGCTTCCAGAATATGTTTTCAAGAAAGCTACGCTTAAGGGGTTTGAGCGTCAACTAGATGCTCTTGGGTGGCAACACGAAACCTTTCCTTTTTCCTGACTACTTCTCATCTTCATACTTCGATTCTATTTTTTGTACTTTCCCTCACCATTGGTATTATTCTCTTCTTTTAATTGAGTTCCCTTAATCTTTACCTTCGATTTTTCTTCCTCTCTTACTTTACGTAACTGGCATAGCAGGAACAGCTAAGGTACGGAACGTGGGCATTAAATTGGTGCAGCAAGGTGTTTTTCGGGTGTTTTCTTTTTAGACCCATCAAGAAGTCGGAGCACCCCTATCAACTCCTGGATCGACGACCCCCTCAAGAAGGAACACTTACGGGATTCGTCCTACCGTTCCAGTCCCACTTGAACGTGAACTTGAACTTGAACAGCTACTTGGGTGTTTCGTCTTACGGTGCTTTGCGCATGTCCACTATGGGTACTAGTAGAAGCCCTTCTTTATGTACTTTCGGTAGGAGGTCAAGTCTCGGAAATAGTGTCTCTGTGGGCCAAATGTGTTCGAAAGTAATGAAGTCAATCGCACTTTCTTGCTTCAAGCGTAGCAGAAGCTTAGTAACTGTCTTTTGGCTGTTGCTCTTCTGTCCCTCATCCTCCGTTTTAGGGAACTTTGTGTGATCGATGAGAATGACATACATCGTGAGGAGATGCTCTCGTTTTGTCAAAAAATTAATCCTCCCGCTTTATCTAACCCTGAAAACAGCACACACTCTTATTGTATGAGCGTTTTAGGATCGTCTAAGTGCTATATTTCCAGAAAGTACCTGAGTTTGAGTTTGCGCTTCAGTTACTTGTAACACTTGTTGACCATGGTAGATTTAACATGCTCAGCCGCTAATGCTGACGAAGGCGTAAGCGTAGAAAACTGTGAATACAAGTTTCGTAATAAACCTCTAATTCCAGTTATCATGATTTACCACGAAGGACGGCAGAACTTTGCACCGAGTGAAAGTGCCTCCAGCAATTTCTTATCCAATTGTAACGAGGAGCAATGGTGAACGTACTCTTCCGGGTCGGACGCGAACAAACTTTTTGCCTTAGTCGCGCCAACTTGCCGCTCCAATGGGACTGGACGTGCCTCTTTTGCATTGCGCTTATTCGTCGTCGGTTGGTGTCCGAAAGGATTACGCGCCTGGCTTGCAATCCCTAAGTAACCGGTTTGAATTCACGAGGGGTGAGCGTCCTCGTGGTGTACTCAGCCGACTGGCTGCCGGTGCTAGTCTCGTGGCAACGAAGCTTCGGTACAGTGTGCCGGTGTATTGCTGATGGCTTACTTTTTTCTTTTTTGTATTTATTCGTCGCACAAACGTCTTGAAGCACTTGCACTCTTTTGTGTCCACTTCGCCTTCTGTGACGGAATATACGCACCGGGTACGCTGCAGCTCGTCAAGTCCCTAGGCAATGATGTCACGCTCGTACAACGTACGCTGTTCCTGTCGTATACCGAAATTCAACCCATCTGTCACATCCGCCCTTCGATTCCAATCTTTGCTCATATCTAACCAAACTGCCACATGCCAACCAATTACCGAGGAATCATCGGCCGTTGAATCATAGAACCTAGTACTGATCATACACACTTGACAAGCGATCTCGCCTAATCGATACTACCGGTCCTTTCCATGATCTAGTATTCTATCCATCTACTGAGAGCAGTTCCGGTCAAAACAGTTTCAACGCCACATTAGTTGGAGTAAACCGAATCCGTCGGAGTGTTTTCCAACAGCCTAGGAAATACGCAACGCTCTGCTACATTCGTTACCATAAGTTTTGTACAGAACTCAACGTATTGCTTAAGTCCTTTGAACAGAAAGGGATCCTTGGACTGTTTCAAATGAAAAATATCCCACGCGTAGACATCAGAAGCTGTTAGTGAACAAACTTGTTTGCTGTGGAGGTCTCCATGCTTATCCTCCACAAGTGATAGGAATGAAGTGAGCAACAATAACTGGAGTCAAAATTTGTGTACCCAAGAACCATTTGTCCGGGTTCTCCCTCTACCTTGGATCCCACCACAATGACACATGTCGGGGAACACGCCACTGCCATGTTCTCGACCGCTTCTGAACCATCCACCCAGCCTTGTCATTCAGACAAACTAGACCTCTGAACTTTACGGTGTCCGATACATTTCGCTCACTTTATTCCTATCAATCGTAGTGCATACGTCTGAGGGGATCCACTGAAAACAAGCCTGGTAGTGAACTTTTCAACACGGTTGTACCATTTCTTAGAAGCCACTGCTGATACTGTGTCCCTTTCGTACATTGCTATTTCCAACAGCGTGGGACTTCCGTAGTATGCACCGGCAGCACAAGATGATACTACTTTTCATAGGTTCGAGACTCTATTTTAGTGACCGTGACCATAAAATAGTGTGTACACTGGTTCCTAGCAGCCCGGTTTTCCGATACCAGTGGGAGCAAAAATCTGGATGAATTCACTGAAGTACAACACTTCTCGTATGGATTTATCTACTTGTGAGACATTATGACTCCAATTCGGTGCTCTTTAGCATCAGGGCATCAAGCCTTAAGGCCTCTATTACTAATAGGTAGAAGAAAACAAATAACCTCATTGAGTTTGATGCTGTAATTGCATTACCTGCGATTCAATTGGATTACCGTGCGCGTCCAAAAAATTCCCATCCCAGTAGGCCCATGACTGAAAGTTCTCGTCCGCTTTGTTCATCACCGCATTGCATTCAATGGTGTTGATGGAAGCTGGGTTACCGTCGGCGCCGCATAAGCCAAATTCAGTTAAAAAGCGGCCTCCCCCAGTGCGTCTGATAGAATTGCGACTGTTTTTAAATACCGAAGGAAGTAGCATCTAAAAGCAAATGATAAATAGTTCACGCATAATACTACCAATAATGCGGGGACGAACAATATATGTAGTTTTACAGCCACTTATCTTTTTGAAATGAAAGCAATATAGTTCAATTAAAGTCAATCGCCTTGACATTCCAAAGTCTCTCCTTCTTCAGCTGCTAAACATTCTGACTGCCACACATACTAACAGGCGAACAATCTTGATTTTCATCCACAAACATGTTCACATGAGGAGTTCAAGCAAGGACGAAGCCTGTAGCGTATATCAGACAGATATGCACGCCACAATTTCCCTAATGCCGTTTTCTGCTGTTGTCTGGATTGTGTAGAAAAACTGGACGGGCTCTGGCCCGGAGTGCTTGAGGTAGTTCACTAGTGTCGGATTTAAACTACTCAACCCGGTCGACCGCACCTTTGAAATTTTCTGACCCAGCGGCGGATAAGGAAAGGGATGTGACTCAGAGCCTAGCTGAAGTCGACGATGAGGAGCCAGATATAAGCTGAGAGGACTACGCTAGGACTATCCAGTCACGAGACACAGTGACACTTTTTTCAAGGGGGCTAGGTGGTAAGATATTTCTAAGGTTTATGCAACGCAGCGCCTCTTATTACTCTTCCCTGTCTTCCTAATCCCAGTCGTAATGGCATTCGTCTTACCATTGCTCATTCTTTCAACCTAAAGACATGACACTGAGAAGCACCATCTCTTCGACAACACATCATCGGCCTAGAACGTCCCACAATGTCGTATATGTGGCTGGAACTATGTGGTCAATTTCGCTTCCGATGTAAGATAGTCATGATTGCTTGGAAGTTTGACTCTACCGGATGGTCCTCTCCACCTCCCATCTCAGCTATACAGTGTATTGTTCCAGTTAAATTCATCACAAGTGCTGTCTCTCACTCCTACTCCACTGGGAACAACAGTCACTTCCTGCTTAACAGCCTACTACCGAGCTATGGCTTCGGTGACAAGGATGAGCCTAGCTACCCGCTGGTATAGCGCCCTCTGAAGCCACACACTTATGCAGTTCGTTTTATTTCGTCGCCTAACAATTTTCTTGGCACAGTTGGTCCAGGTTATGGACCCGGCTTAGATAGTCGTTACTCAACAATCTCTAGTGCATACATCGCTTTCGAGTTGCTTAGACTCTGTAAGTAGGAAAGTGAATCGCGCCGAGTGACCCTCCCAGATAGTGCACATAAATTCCATTTATATAACAATTTTAGGCTGCCGGGTCATTCGTATTTGGGGGCCACATTCTGCTGTGTAACTTATATAGGTAAAAGAATAGACTGTTCAGTATTATTATTCTTCCTATTGACAGATGGCATGCAGAAATAATTAAAATATCACGAAATTCTTGGGAACTTCTGCTTGCCGACGTGCGGCGAATTCAAAATTCCATCCGAATGGACGTAAACTGCCCGCCTAAAATCATAAATTTCGCAGAATAAGAAAAACCCGACTGAACTGTTAAGGGTGACAAAGCGTAGCTGGATGCCCTCATCTGCAGCGGTCAAGAACATCATGGGTCTGTTTCATCTTCATTACCAACTGTTGAAAGTGAAGTTTACAGTGGACAATACAGATGTCTGCGTGGCGGTTTGCCAATGACATATTTGATCCTGAGGAATCCAACCCATGCTTGTAGTCAAATTCTGCAGTTGAACCACAACACCATTCTATGAGGTCACCAGCTAAAGCTGCGTACACAATACAGCCGGTTGGAATGCCGCCGGTAGTTCTTTTCACTTCGCGCATGCCAACTATGAAACGCCCACCCCACTTCCCTTGTCTCTACCCCATACTAACGGGATGCAAAAAACGTCTCGATGATGCACTCATACAACCCTCTATATCCGGGCGTCAACCAACCACGATAAAACAATGTGGTCATTTTCAATTCCTGCACATTATTTATTAAGCGCTACTACTGAGTTTACGTATTCCGTCGGCCCAAAGAAGCTGCACGCGAACCAGCGTTATCATTTCCATTACTTATGTTTTCGAACGGATTGCGTGAAATATAACCACTAACCAAATTGTTTTGTGTACGCACATTCAGTTCTCATTTCAAACTATCGTTATGCAGTAGTGCAGTTACATCTTTAGACGTTTAAACTAAAAGTTTACTCACCCGTTGATAGATCTTTTTCCCTCCAAATAACCCACGGGACTTGTCAAACACTTGCTATTTTATTCGTAATAAATCATTGTTCGAAATCATCGGTGTTGTCACCTCAACCCATTTTCACCCACCCCTGTACATTAGCCCCAACCTACCGGATAAGTTTGCTTACATGGTAGTTGTCTCTGACAGAATGAACCGCATTGTTCAGTCTAGTTGGATAGATAACGTTGTAGCTGATGAGAGGGCACTGAGGCAGGAAAAACATATCTGCTCGACTGTCCAGTACTTACTGCGACAGGACTGTGCAAATAAAATTTTGGAATGTGCGCGGTCCCATCGGTCACCCCACCGTCGCTTAGTTCCCAGTATCAATCTACTGGAGATAGATCATCTCTAGTAGCAATTCGTAGTCATTAAAACATAAAATTCATTTTGCTTGAGTGTCTTTGATTTGATTTAGCTTTCTGAGTACCCCCATGGACCTAAGATTGTTCTTTCCAGTGGAAATGCTTGTTGTAGCTTCCAAGCTGATTCACACCTAGAGCGTTGCGTAAGTGTTTTGCAGTGGGGAGTGACTAAAGTTTGACTGATTTGTGGTCAGGTGCTCAGCCAGGCTAGTGGTGCCCGATGCAGTGCAACGGCTTATTCCTTGTAATAGTTTATTTCTAGCGAGTGAACAATGACAGTCAGCATTCATAATCATGTAAGCTTGCCCAATCTTGTTGTGAGGATTGCATAATTGACAACCCTTCCATGCCAACAGATTGGACAACTGATTTCATTCGTTAGTGCCATTAATGCTACTAGCGTAGAACATCGGCTCTACCTTGGAAAGGACCGTGACCTCGCCACATTTACCACCTCAGCCGTTTGCATGCTTTCCACCGCAAATGGGAGCAAATATCATTCAGCGACTCTGCACACATCGGATCGTGATAAGTCGCGCAATAACTTTCATCGCAAACGGACGCATGAATTAGCCGCTGCGGCCTAGTTTGGGTTTATTCTGTGTCACCTTAACGCATAGTAACCAACTTTAACTCATTCTTCTTGCATTCACAATCTCTATCCGGTGAAGTTTTCAGAACAGGAAGTATTTATTCTTCGACTCTCATCATTTTAACCTACTGATTTTGGTGGAATTCTAGGTGAAGCCACGCTCACAACCACCTTACGCTTGGATATCTTCCCAGCCATTTACGCTCTTTCAAACAAGTACTTCATGGCTATTCAGAAAGCTTCAGCTCATCAAAATAGACCATTCTGTGTGTAGTTACAGCTCTGTTTGCGAATACTGCCAGTCCAGCTGCTTCCCGAAATTTGTTCCGAGCTCTAACATGCGGAGCACATCGCTGTCAACGTCCGAGCCCAATGGGCACGGATCGGTCCGCGCCAGTCATTTTCACCTCGGCGCTAGTGAATTCCACTCGACCTCGAGAACGTGGTGTCCTAACCTGTGGGAATCACGACAGAGTTAGATCGTCATCCGGTATCTGCTCAGGAGCATGTATCCGAAACCTGGACACACAGATGAACACGAGTGGCTAGCGAACAAAGGGCTCAACCCAAACATGCATCTGAACTGTCCTACTGACCTAGAGATGCAAATGAATAGCGTAGCAACGAAACAGTGCGAAGTTAATACCGGAGCCTCATCTCGCATATTATTTGTGAAACATTGTGTCCAACCTTTTTGCTCGTCCTCCTGTGGCTGCCCTCCCACTCAATCTTAGTTTTTAAAAGCTGCATGTTCATCAAATTAACACCCTTCCAAATATTCCCTAAAAGTTTTTGTTAATAGTATGCGAAAGAGAGTTGAAAGTGAAGCCAGAATCGACTACAAAACACAAGAATCCATCCGTTATTATTGTACAGACGTGATGTACATCATCTAAAACCCAAAAAATGCGGATAAGACGCTGTACTACACCAACTTTGCTACCGGCATCAGGCCCGAAATGACCAGTAGGATTACGGCACTTGGAAACGAAATTATTATACTGACAATCGAAATTCATGAATTTAGTATTAATTAGGATCAAGTTCTATCATTCTGTGAACTGCTTAGTGTATCAGCAAAGTTATGCTATACCGATTATGTACGGCTAGTTCCTTATTAACTTCAACCACTTTTGAGACTTAATGGCGCCTATCGTAAATTGCATTACCGTACCTGTTAAGCTATTTATTCACAGAGATACAGATGCTCTTTTAACAGCGTGCACTAAAACTGGAATCATCTGTCGGCGCCTCAGATCGGTATGGAAGGAAAGCAATCTATCCTGCATACTGATCCTGGATTTGCCAGACGATACGAGTGCATCAGAATTCGTAAGCAATAAAAGAGTAAGTGTCGCAAAAATTGACTTGAAAAGTATGGTGCTCAAACAATATCAAACACCTCTTTAGAGGCAAGTAGTACAGGCATATCCACTCAGCCAACCTTACTCCCCAGGTTCCTAGTAGTCAAACGAGTATTGGTGCGGGGATCAGCAATATCTACCTTAACAATTCAACAGCGTCCTGCAGAATTGAGGATAAGTTGTGTTTCAGTTCTCACCGCCCTCCTTAGAGCCTCCGAAATTCAGTAGTATTGTACCCCACCTCAGCAACACCAACCGAGCTGATAAACTAGCGAGTCATGAGACACATATAGACTACACAACCTCCTCCTCTGTCCCATTTGCACAACACTGGACTTTAAAATATGTGGCAATAGCTGTAACTACAACCTCCCGAACTCACAACCAAACCCAGAGCGCCATACTTTCATTATTAAAAGCAGATCTAAATCCGACCGAAATATGCAAAACTTCCCCTAGTAACACACGGAGCTCAGCAATTCTTAAGCGGCCAACACAAG